CTTTACACAATTGATGTGTGTATGGATTGTGATAAGAGTTGTATGAGCCCCTAATAAAATGATTTTTTTTTTTAAGTTTCAGTACGCTGATGAAGCACAGGAAGACTCACATGTCTATGTCACGAAGTTCTGGAGAGAGAGCTACTTGGCCAACTGAAGGGAAGAGATTCATAACTGCACCATTCCAAAGAAAGGTGACTCAACAGAGTGCTCACATGATAGAACAGCATCATTAATATCACCAGACCCATTGTGAGATGAACCTAACACTCCACTTATAACTTGACTTCCATAAGCCCCAACCTGACTGAGGGCCTTCAAGACATGTCGGGTCTCCTGGAATTGGTAAATTCAGAGTCAGTGTCCAACAAGCCTCAAGAATTTGATTTATTTTTCCATAGCAACAGGCGGGAGCTCTGGTGGCACAGTGGCTTATGTGTTGAGCTGTTAACCAGTAGTTCAAAACCGCCAGAAACCCTTTGGATGAAAAGATGAGTCTTTCTACTAAAGTAAAGAAAACACTGCAGGGGCAGTTCTACTTTACCCTATAAGGTCGCTGTAAGTCAGAATTGACTGGAGGACAGTGAGATTTGGCTTGGGGTTTTCTTTAAACAATAGTCACTCTTGCAAAAGGCTATCGAGCCCTTTGAGGAAGGCTGGGAGAAATACTCACGGTATAAACCTTTGGTTGTGTAGTGAGGTCCTTCCTGCAAGGGATCCAGCCTTCCATTCATTAAGGGGCTGTGAGTGTGTAAACTGGCTCAAGTCTGGATATTGACTGTGGGGTCATGACTCCCTAGCTTGGTGATTCAAGTTACACTACCATTCACCTGATCTAGAATTCTTCCACTTGTACAGATTAAGTAAATGTTTCATTAAAAACAAAAAAAAAACCCAAAATACCCAAATGCCATCAAGTCGATGCCAACTCATAGTAACCCTACGGAACAGGGTAGAACTGCCCGTGGGTTTGAAAGACTGTAGCTCTCTATGGGAGTAGAAGATCCATCTTTCTCCCGGAAAGTGGTCAGTGGTTTCAAACTGCTGACCTTTTGGTTAGCAGTCCAAAGAGTAACCACACTGTGGCTACCTCCAAGGCTCCTCTGATACATCAGACTATTCTGATTACTACTTTGACTCTGCTATCCATTTTAGTACACATGCCCACCTGGTCTCTATCAATTAAATGCTGCTCCTATCCCCTACCCAATCAATCCATTGTAGGTGGGTGTCTTAAATCAATCAGGGAAGTTCCCACTGTCAGCCTGGCTTTCATAATGAAGCAATCACAGGAGTCCTCAGAAATGCTGGGGCTTTCTTCACACATGCCCTTCACGGTATTGGTAAAAGGTATGTTCGGGAACTCCTACTGGTGTATCCTGATAAATCCACTCTAACATGCCAACATCCCTAAGCCTTTGGATACCTTCTTCTACAGTGTACCACGGTAGGTTTGGTATTTCAACTTGTTTTTTCTTGTATTGAGCCAAATGCAGGATCCAGACTAGCAAGAAGCTAGCCAGCCAGTAGCACTTATATAGGAGTAGGCCACACCTTGGTGAAACTTCCAGCTGCATTTAGGGCTTTGACCTGATCAAGGGGATAGCACTCCACCCTAATCTTCCCACAACTACTCACAGAAATTCCCATAATCGAAATGATTATATTACGTTTGAAGACAACATGAGGGAAGCCTCTATTACTAAACCACTGGGAATCCCAACCCAGCTAAGATAACATAAAACCTAACTACTGCCTGGCATCCTGCTGGGTATGACACCAGGAATCTCACAGCGAGCAAAAGAGAAAAGCCAGGAGTGGAACGTGTCCTTTGGACCCCAAGATCCCTACACTTTGAACCTCTCTGATCCAAGAGACAGTTTTGACACCCGGAGAGGGGCAGACGAACAGCAGCAACAGAAATCAGAGGCCGAACACACGCAGAGCAGTGGACTTCCCAGCAGAGAGAGCAAGTTGAATGCTTTGGGGCAGGTGGCTGGCTTATGGAATGGGGTACCTCTAAGCACTGAATTGCGGGAGCTGTGTTTGCTGACCTATGGACTGGATCTGAGTGTCTTCAGTTTGAGGCTTACAGTGCAGTGGTATGCTCGTGGGCACTTATGGAAGCCCAAGGCCAGTCCAAGGGAAGGGTCTATCACAGAAGAAACTTCTGATTGAACCACACTGTAGCTTGGGCATTTCTCACTTGCATCATAACCTGTTACATTCTCCAATAAACTCCCTAATCGTGAGCTTCATCTGGGAGTTCCGTGTGGCTATTGCAATGAATTGCCGAATCTCGTCACAGAGATACAGTGCCATGGGGGGTATGATTGGTGTTAGATTAGCACGGCAAGGACGGAGAGTGGAGGCACGTCTCACCTGAGCCTGTAGCAATCAGCCTTGGGATCCATGGGAGGCCAGATGTGGCCCCCAGACCATTTCCTCAAGCCCAAAGAGCATTTATTACTTTAAAAGTAAGACAAAACAGATACTGCTTCTTAAACTGTATGTGCTTTCCCTAAATGACATTCACACATACATCAAACTCCAATGATTGTTCTTACTTTAATCTTCACAGCATCATAGCGGATTTGTGAAAACTCACGAAGACCAAAAGAACCTCCAATAACCAGCAACTGAAACACAAAAAGAAACAAACAAAGAAGGGCAAAATGAGGCTGATTCAGACATTACTGCTCAGAAACCAAAGGAGACAGACTCGACACCAAGCAGTTCTCAACCGGGGGTTCGGACCCCTTTGGGGGGGTGTCGAACGGCCCTTTCACAGGGGTCGCCTGATATATCCTGCATATAAGATATTTACATGAAGATTCACAACCATAGCAAAATGACAGTGATGAAGTAGCAATGAAAATAATGTTATGGTTGGGGGTCACCACATGAGGAAGTGTATCGAAGGGTCGTGGCGTTAGGAAGGTGGAGAACCACTGCTCTACACAATCCTGTGGATCATCTCCAGATAAGCTATCATTCATCTCTTCAGAGTAAATGTAAAAATATGCACCCAAAACTTGTCTTACTGAGTTTCACCGACAGTGCATTTTTACAAGTCAAAGGTTTGTGGCTGTCTTGCATTCAGCAAGTCTATCAGTGTCATATTCCCAACAAGTCTGCGTCACCCTTTAGTAATTCTCATACAATTTCAAATGTATTCATAATGCTACTGGGTAACATAGTGTAACTATAAATTTTATATGCAGCAGGAAACCGAAAAAATTGTATGACTCACTTAACTGTGACAGTCACTTCATTGTGGCAGTCTGGAACTTGTATTAGCACTCAGGGGTGCCTGCACACACGTACAGTGAGCCTGTTTGCAGGCTATACCGTCTCTGAGACATCTGTGCACGGAAGCCCGTCCTCCTACCTGCTGTGGGTCACTGCACCATTGATTCTCTATTTGCCATCTCATCAAGTCCCTGCTCACCAGTGCATGACTCATCATAAAAGATATTACACCACCCCTACTTTTTGAAAACGGTGAGGTTCCAAACCCCAGGCGACGACGTGGAAAGAGTCATGACGTGAAAATGGAGGAGGATCCCATCGCATCGCTGCAGAAATGCCCTGCCCCGGGCAGACCTGGGAGAGACTGCAGAGCAGCAGCCCGCTCAAACGGAAAGAAAACCTTGCCCACAAGGCCTACCCTTCCCCAGGGGTTTACTTGACCTGCTTCTTCTAGCCATCGCCTTGGTAATTCCCACAGATAAACTAGTGAGGGGCACGCCGATAAGCCATGGAATGCTACGAAGGGGCCGGCTCAGTTTGCCTTTCCACTGGGATGAAGATGCGCCATCTCAGGAGAGACAGGGGAATCTCGCTGCCACTGAGAGAAGGGCACGAGGGGAGCCTGTCCTTTGCATCCCAAGATCCTGCACTGAACACCCACGGGTTCAGGAGACAGAGCTGTGATATCAGAAGGATGGCAAGAGTGGAAACAATAGGACACAAGGCAGCGAGGTGGGCTTCCTGACTCATGCAGCAGGTAACGCTGACTGCCTTTAAGCAGCTGAGTGCTTCGAGCAGGAGGCTCCCTTGTAGAGTGGGGTGCTTCTGGGCACTTAATCGGGTGAGCTGGGTTTGTTGACCCACAGAGCTGAGGCTTCTGGCAAAATGAAGTGCCTTTCGGACTTGTGTCAGCAGCAGCAAAGGAACACTGTTAACACTTGCAGGGCAGAGGCCAAGGAGCTGCATGACTGCGGAGGAAAGGGTCAGAGAGCGGCTAGTCTGCAGGCACGGCTAAGACGTAGTAGTCCTGACCAGAAGAACTGTATCCCGAGCATTTCGGATCCTGAATTTTAACCTGTTAGCTCCACTCACAAACCTCCCCCTCATGGTTAAGGTCTGAGTGCTGGGTGGACACTACAGTGAAGTATGGAGCAGAGTGCCCAGGGCCTGCCAGCTGGTGTCGGATGTGGTAGAAGGTCAGAGGGGGAAGGCATGTTTGACCTCACAGGAATTGGCATTGGGCTGATGCTGAGTTTGATTCACTTTCCCCCGTCAAGTCAAACGTCAAACATGGCCCCCACACCATTCTTTCATCAACCACTAAAGGAAAAACTGCCCCTTACCCCATAATATCAGCAGAGCTGAGTAAAGAGCTGGACTTGCGGCCCTTTGTGGTGGTGGCAAGCTGGAATTTGTTAGGGTTCAGCTTTAAAAGGACGCTGTCCATAGGGCCCAAAGGGAAGCATATTGCCACTCCACCCGACCAAGGGAAGAGGCAAACCAAGGACGGTCTCAGTCGGTACTTCACTGCTGGGGCAGTGACAAGGGCCTTGCAGGAAGCTGAACGTCCACCCACCCCCACCCCCACCTGGCGGTAATGAGTTGATGTAGTCTGACATTCCTCTTTTGCAGAGTGGGGTTAGTAGCATTTAACAAAACCTCCCTTTGAGCAGCCTGAGGAAAGCTGCTCCTGGTCATTGTTCATTACAAGGATTCTAAGATTCCTTTGTAAAGCAGAGTGTTTTAAGCGTTTTGGAATAGCTTAGGTTGAGACGTGGCATATGATTCTGAAACAAAAAACTTAAGAGCTATCATCTCTGTATTTGTAAACTCCCTTAAGTTTGGTGTTAGATGCAACGAACAGAGAAAAGATAGTGTCATCGTCTATAAGCTACAAGAAAGTAGACATAAGCTAACATGATCATCTTAGAGAAATCGCGTAACCGAACAGTTAAAAAGCAGTGAGTGCGCTGTGGGACAGGATTTAGGGAAGCAGAGCCATCGGAGGTGCTGGGGCAGTGAATTAGGCAGTGTGGCTCTTTTAGCCAGTCTCTAACTCCCACCAGATGCCCTTGCCCTGCATGGGTTTGGTAAGAAGGTGGGGGGGCGGCACTGATAGGAGTCACTGGTCACTGTGAACAGGATTCCGTGAATGCCATTCTGCTGCTTATCAAATAAGCCCTCTGAGGAGGAAGGATCACATTGCCAGCCAGAGCCCGGAGTGGAGCAGGTCCTCTGGGCCTGCGACCCTGCGCAGTGAACCTGACGGCCTTGGTCCTAGAGGAGCCACAGCAGAACTGGAGCCAGAAAGAGGAACACAGTGGGGAATTTCCCAACCCACGGAGCAAAGGAACGCCGAGTTCTTTCGTGCAGGAGGCTGGCTTGCGAAGTGGGGTGCCTCTCGGCACTTCATTGGGGAAGTGGAGCTGAGTGCCTTTGGGCTGAGGGTTACTCGAGCAGAGTGCCTCTGGATACTTAATTCAGAGAGCTGGATTTGCTGATTCCTGGGACTGCCTCTGAGTTGAGGCTTACAGCAGAGTAGCCTGCCTCTGGGGGCATTGGTTAGCAGCCCTGAAAGAACTGTGAGACATGGCCTGATAAACCCAGGGCATTTCTCACTCACTGCAACTTGTTAACATCTTTAATAAACCCTCAATCATGAATTTTGTCTATGAGTTCTGGTCAGCCATTGCAATGGATATTAAGACACAGAGGTAAAATAGGCATTAATAAGACAACACAGGAGGATCTAAGAGTGACACTTGACCCAGAGAACAAACACTAAGAAAGGTTTATCACATGACCTGAAACTTAAAAGTAGGACCAAGGACGTGCCAGCAGGAAGCCTCGAGGAGCCTTTCAACAGGAAGCCCAACAATGCTAGTCAGTAGGGAGCATTAGAACCAAACCCACTGCCATGAAGTCAAAACCCTTTATAGCGTTTTGGAGACTATACCTCTTTATGGGGTCAGTCTCATCGTTCTCCCTCAGAGCAGCTCGTGGGCTTGAACTGCCGACTCTGCTTTATCAGTCAAATGCCTACACCACAGAACTACCAGGGCTCCTTATGGAAGGGAACAGGGAGCCCAAAAATCCCATCTCAGGAGCGGGAAAGCTTAGGACTGAGTAAAAGGCCCCAACACGAGAGAAATCCCAGGACAATCGGAAGAACATGTTCAAAATCTCTGTCTGAAGTAGAGGAGGAGGAGGAGACCAGAGGCACCAGGGGACTACAGGGCAAAGCAAAGGAGCCAGGTTAAGAACAGAACACCACAAAACAGAACAGAAGCTGAAGCAAGGAAACCAGGAGAAAGAACAGTGCTGAGACCACGCAGCTGTGAGGCAGAGTAACGGGCAAGCTTCCTGGACCACGGAGGCAGAGACCAAGGGACCATGTGACTGAGGACCAGCGAGACGTGGCTGCTGGCTGAGGGGAGGTGATGCTGTTGACAGATCCTCACTAATGGGAGATCGTCAACAATAAAGTGTTTTCCAGCACCCACATATGATAAGGGCCCTTGGTATACATGAGGCAGTAATGGAAGTCATGGTGAATGGCCTTAGTGATGGTGAGTCCACGGAAATTACCTTTCCCAGGATGGTGGGCAACTGGTGACATTTTCTGTGTCATTTCTGTTGTACCTAGGCAGAATCAAAAAGCTATCTTTGATATGCCTTATTAGTTACTGAAAAATAGCATTGCTGGTCTTTGTCTCACCAGCTACGAGAGGATCCATAGTGCCAGACATGGCTACAGCCTCTTTGATGGGTCATAATGAGCTCACTCTAGCTTTACGTGAACCAGATTTAGAAAATGCAGTTCAGTATTTGACTGGTTGTGGAATCGAAAGTTGTCAAATGCTGGCATTGTATGGTTATGTAGACACTGAGCTGGGTGGAATCTTGTTGAAGGAGGGAGGTTTCTTACTTTCTTCCATTTGCTACCTTCTGTAATGAGAAGAATATGGAAGACAATGCAAACATTGTGATCAGATTGTGCTTCAGAGGCCTGAGTGTTTGGGTCCTGCTTTGCAAGAAGGGAGAAATGGTCTTCTCCCACCCATGAAAGACAACATGAAAATAGCCAAGAATCCTTCCAGAGGTGGTCCTCACCCACGAGTGGATCCAGCAAAACACTTGATACAGAAGAAGAGGAAGAAGACACCAGCCACCAGGGGAATGCAATCATGACCTTGTGTACAGCTTTGGTTCATGTACTGATGATCTGTCCACCTGAAATGCATTTGATTCATGCTGAGAAGAGGGAAAGCATTAGGACTGTGGCTATTTGGAGATCCTTAATTCCACTACATTTGATGAGCATAATCAGCATTGCTTTTCAGATGCCAACAATAGCCAGAGATAGGAACATGGAGGAGCCGGACAGGAGCCTGCAGGGTCTATGGGGTCGAAGTTCAGGATTTCCTCTTGCATCTTCCTGAAGTTGGCTTTCTGCCACATCTCCATGTGACAGCTTTGACACTACAGACATAGCCTTGGTCCTCAAGCGGCACGTGTGCACACCCGTCTCGCCTTTGTTAACGAGATGTGCTTCCCCTTTTGCTGGCACCGAGCACTGTGCTTCCCTTATGGGCTCATTACTCCAAACTGTGTAGAGGCTGTGAGAGCTGCTCACTTATCAAAACTCAATGGGAGTCCTTAGACGTGTACTTACTTTCCACTTGCAACCAAGTGAGAACTTCCGTGATGCAGCACTGAGAAGATTTAAATGTGATGTCCTGTTACTAAATGAGCATGCAAAGATGCCATTTCAGTTACCGACAAATCATTCTGAAAGACACTGGTCATATCACTGCCTACCGGAAGTGGAGGACACTCGGGTGCTGCATCCGAAGAACTACATTGAACAAGAACATTGGTCTGGGGCATGTCTGATGCCCTGTCTCAAAAGAACAAGAACTTTTCAAACTGGTTCTGTCTTGCCTGACTTCAGCTGCAGGAGCTTTGTCTCCAGACTACAGGGAAGCAAATGACATCAGTAGGGTAGAAAAAAGAGTCATCAGTAGATTCTGAACGGAACTTTAGTCCACAACCTGTTGACACCTTAAATATTACAATCCCTGCAAAGTTGGAATACTTATTAATAATTACATTGACCATTCCCTTGACAAATGGTCGGTGGATAAGTTGGCAAATGGATGGATTTATGGACATCTCTCTTCAGACTCTTCTAGTATACCACCATTAATGAAAGCACATAAACTATTATCTGAAAAGGAAAAAAATAAACTTGCTGGTCGATCAAAAAAAGGGGGGGGATCGATCACAAGGATCAACATATAACCTCAAGGGGGACAAACAACAGAAAAGTGGGTGAAAGGCGACAGAAGACGATGTAAAATATGAAAATAATAATCTATAACTTATCAAGGGTTCGCGAGAGAAGGAGGGCAGGGGAAAAATGAGGATCTGATATAAAGGGCTCATGTAGAAAGGTGCTTTGAAAATGATGAAGGCAACATATGTACAAATGTGCTTGACACAATGGAGAAATGTATGGATTGTGATCAGAGATTTTAAGAGCCCCCAATAAAAGTATTTAATTTTTTTAAAAATAAAGAAAGTAAAAACTATGCCAGCTTGGGGCTGAAGAACTGAAAGAAGCAGGGAGCAAGAGAGTACGGCTCTTTATAATAAGGACTAGTCCTGTCTCTCTCTCAGATTACGTCAAGTTTCCACAGATACTGGCCCTGGCTATAGCCACTAACAATGTTCCCCTCTGCAGAGATCTGCATGCAAGGGATGAAACGTTGTCTGAGAAGTACCATAATCTAAGGGCCAGGAAAATAACAGGAATACAAAGGAGGTGGAAACTATCCCCTGCTGAATCCTATGGTACACTGACGGGCAAAGGGAAAAAGAAAGCCCCGGATATTTTCAGCTCTTTATAGATCACTGGGTATGCTATATCCAGCGTGTTTTAGGACCAGCAACTGGACACTTATATTATATATTGAGACACAATTTGCCTCCAACAATTTTCGTTATATGGATGAGGCCCACCCTTATCGCCTCGAGTTTAATGGTGGTGGCAGAAGCAACGGAGAGCATTTCCCTTATGAACAAGAAATCAAGTTTTTTTGCTCAAGAAGTGCTTCCTATAATTGATTCACACACACACACTTTCCCCCCTCCTCATCCCCCAAATCATCGCTTACCCTTCGCATCTGTAGCATGCAGGCCTCGGTTCTGGAGATAAGCTTCACACAGACCCGGTGACTAGGTCTCCCCGGTGGGCTTGGATGTGCACACAGGGTCTGGAATGGACCAGGCCCTTCGGAACCGAGGACTCTCGAAAACTCCAGTCTAACTAAGGCTTCTCGTGCTCCCTCTCCCACGTAACTTGGTGTCATAGAAGCTTTTCCCCAGAAGGCCTGGTTAACTTCGATGTCACTCAGTTACAGAGGTTTCGAAAAGCACATTGAGAGAAACGAGGAGGAAATGCAAGTAAAAGTATGGAAATCCCGCTTCGAAAATCAAAGCCCCAAACCTATCGCGAGCCCTTTCCTAGTCCCGGTCCCCGTTCTCGGCCTCGTGGGCCCACACACAACCGCTGTCCAGCCAATCAGAAGGTGGCGTCCAATCCGCCGGTTCTCGCTCCCAACTGCCCGGGGCCTCCACTCACCACCATGGGGACGCCGTAACGAAGGGTCTTGTTCTTGAGCAAAGCGCGCATGGCTGTTGGTGATGCTCGCAGGCTAGTCCTGATCGCTCCGCCCCGCCGCCAGAGCAGCCGCGAGCCCTCCCGTGGCGGCGGCCGCGGCTCGCGCACGCTGCCGTGGCTCCGGTCCCCGGAAGCGCCCCGCTGTCCTTCACCGGCGTCCGTCAGGCAAAAGCAATCGATCACCGCTACCTCGCTCTCGGTCCGGAAAGCCGAGGTGCAACAATTTGCTTCTTGCACGCGCGAATGCAATTGGGTTTTAGGTCACGTAAAACTGATAAAGGAAATCAACGATGCCTCCTTTGTCCTGGGACCACTTTCTTGGAATACTGTCGGCACACATCCGCTGGATAAAATGGGCTAAGAAGTTACTTTGGAGCGGGTTTTATCTACTTTGGGCAGTTTATCAGTTTAACAACGTTGTTTAAAAATAAATCAGTGAAAGTTTAGGTTAAATGGTAAACAGGGTAGAGTCTTATGATTCTTTTAGCCTGTCATGCTAATACTTATACTGAAAAACAGCCTACAGTCCTCAGTCATTTATAGACCTTTTTTTGGGGGGGCGGGGGGGGTGCAGATTATTAATAGCACCAGAAACACAAATGAAATGCCTCTTAGAACTGACCATTTGTGGCAATCTAAAGCCTCATTTTTCTCTCTTGGAGCAGCTGGTAGCTACGAACTGCTGACCTTAGAGTTACCTGCCCAATGCATAATCCATTGGCTACCAGAGCTCCTCTTGGGACTTCAATCAGTAATTTTCAAAGCATCTGGATTGTACATTTGATCAATTGCAGATTGAACGTAATAAAAATTTATAGTTGCCATATCAATGGCACTTGTTGATTAGTGTGTATGTATGTGGCAATTAGATTTTATGTCAACTGGAATTTGAAAGTGTAAGGGTAAAATCTAAATCTAACCTGTCCATCATGATTATGCCTCCTTGTGGGTGTGGCCTTTTTATAAGGGAGGAAACTGGGAACCTCGCCCTCGCTGCCACTTGACGTGTCTCCTCGCTGAGACATCACTGGGATCTATCTGTGTCTGCCTCCAGGAACAGCCACCCAACCCTGAGAGCTGTTGGTGCCCTGCGGTGCTTCCACTGGCCTTGGATCCATGTGACTGCACTCCTGGCCTGTGAGCTCCCTGCTTCCTCTTTCTGTCATGAGCCGGCCACAATGTGGGTCTGAAGAAGGCCCTAGCTTGCCTTGGACTTAGGGCCTTGAGTTGGACTGGGCTAGAATGCCTTCTTGAGCAAGATTACTTTTTGATATAAAGCACTACCTTATACATACAGACACGAGTGTCACTGGGTTTGTTTTCTAGACAATCCTAACAATGTATAAATCTGAAGTCATACTAACCAGTCCTTGTGGGCATGTCGATATTAACAGATCACTAACAGAATTGTACTTCAAATATTTCTTGAAATATTTTTGATGATGCACGCAATGCCATTATCTCCTATTATGTCATTTCCAGGACACATCAGGCTTGTCTGAGTCAAAATGGCAACGTACTGGTCCATTTCAGCTCACTAATACCTAGGATACGGGTGGTCTTCAGGTTAATTTTTGAGGACTTCCAATTGTGCAGCCCAGTAGGTTTTGCTCTATCAACTCCACTCAGAAGAGGCAGCTTTTTCCCCTAGTAGTGTTTTCAATACCTTCTAACTTTTGGGTCTCATCTCCAAGCACTGTCTCAGACAATGTTCTGTGGTTATCCATAAGGTATTCATTGGCTAGCTGTTGGAACCACATTGCCAAGCCATTTTCCAAATCTTAGTTTGGAAGCTTCACAGAAACCTGTCTACCATGGGAGAACATCCTGGTATTTGATACACCGGTAGCATAGCTTCTGGGTTCATAGCAACTCATAAGCCACCATGGCAGGGCAAACTGACAGGGGGAAAGAATAATGACAGTGTTCAATCATTTTAGTTGATTATTATTAGCATCAAATAAGAGTGTTCTGTTTCTTATCTCCTGCATCAAAGTTAAGCTTCCAATTGATTACTAAGATTTCTCTTTGTCCTCATTCCACTGTTAGGTCAAACGTGTTAGAAAAATAAGTGGCTATTTAATCAAAAGTCTACAGACTGAGGTAAACAAAAAGAGGAGTTTGTTTTATTGACTACCTCACCTGGGCTACCCATAGAGACTCCTATACATCATCTCACTTGTTTTATCTGATATAAAATATCAAATCTTAGAAAAGATTGTCATAGTTCTTGGCCTCATTGGCATCCTTCATGTGTAGTCCCCTAGAAGGTATGATTTTTACTTCCACACATGTTCCAGGTTGCTCTCAGGCAGTGGTTCTCAACCTTCCTAATGCTGGGACCCTTTAAAACAGTTCCTCATGTGGTGGTGACACCCCAACCATTGTCATTGCTACTTCATAACTAATTTTGCTACTGTTATGAATCAGGACGCCCCTGTGATCGGCCCCCAAAGGAGTTGCGACCCACAGGTTGAGAATCGCTGCTCTAAGGCATCTAGCTAATCTGAGAAACTGCTGTTTAGATCCAGGGGCTGAAAGTGACACTAGAGAACAAATCAAGTCTCAAAATGAAAAGTCTTACTTATAAGAACTAACATGGCCCAACATTAAAATGTACATCTATTTAGTAATAAAAGCAAACAAACCGATTGCCAGGGAGTTGATGATGACTCATAGCAACCCTATAGGACAGGATAGAACTACCCCTGTGAGTTTCCAATACTGTAACTCTTTACGGGAGTAGAAAGTCCATCTCCAGCCCCCACCCCACCCCACCACTTTCTCCTGTGGTGCGCTGTTAGCAATTATGCAGTTCAATGCGTAACCACTCTGCCACCAGGGCATTTAGTAATAAGAAACTCATAATTTTTTTAAATTAGATACAGGATTAAAATGGAATTTTAATCTGCAAAGTAGACCATTATAATGATGATGATTACAACAAACACAGAGCTCTATTGTAAAGGACTGTTAATGAGTTATTTGCATTCAAAAACATACTTTAGCTCTCCTCTGTTTTCCTTGTAAAAAGAAAGAGAACATCAACAGGAAGGGAAACTATGAAACAGGATCTAGTGTTTGCCAAAATTTGACTCCTTAGAAGCATCAAATATATACAGTAGTAAGTGAAAGTATATATGGTGCATACACACAGAGACAAATATAGTAAAAGTATCAAGACTTATCAGGTAAGATGAAGTGTTTTATATTTTATATATAAATACCAACACCAGACAAAACAAGAACCTGATTCCAACGAGAACAAAAATCTTTCTTTAGTAGTGTGTTTTCCTCTTGAACATAATTGCCCTTTTGGATGAGTGCTGGTCCCAGAAAGATTTGCAGTTCGCCTCTGGGCCTGAACTAAAGACTCTAAGGGAGACTGTGGTTGGGCGCCCTTGGCTCGGTTCCGGCTCCTGGTGACCCTGCTTATGGCCAAGTGAGGCCCCGTAGGGTCCTGCACCATCCTCACGATTGTTCCTGCGTATAGGCCCGTTGTTGCAGCCAATGTGTGGGCTCTTCTCGTTGAGAGCCTTGCTCTTTTACACCACCCCTCTGCTTCACTGAGCATGCGGTCCCTCTCCGGGGTCTGGTCTCTCCTTACAACACGTTCAAAGGATGAGAAAAGTTTCTACAATCCTTGCCTCCAAGAAGCATTCAGGCTGTATTTCATCCAAGAGAAACTTGTTTGGTTTTTTAGGGAGCTCATGGTACTTTTGATACTCTTCTCCAGCACCATAATCCAAACGCATGGATTCTACTAGTGTTTCACACGCACAGGAGGTCATTGAAGTTCGCGTGGCTTGGGTCAGGTGCGCCTTAGTCCTCAAAGTAACCTGCTTGCTTCTCAACACTTTAAAGAGATCTTGTACAGCAGATTTATCTGTAATTTAGATTTCATGCATAAAGAAGAATCAAGTCTCCTAAATTCATCATTAGAGACAGTGGGACCTTAGAATGAGCATCAGAACAATAACTAGGGCCTTTGAGAACCAACATTTTATATATTAGATAGTTTTATTCAAAGTAGTAGCACTTGGGTTTAGCCATCAGTTTTAGTGATTTTCTAGTTCATTGATTTCCATATTTGCTGTATATTTTCTCCCCAAAAATAATTAAGGTGAATGCTTGGTTCAGTTATTTTTATTCTTTCGTGCTGACAAGGGAAACATTAGATGACAACTTGGTTGTCGGAGTAAGGGTTTGGCTACATCCCATGCATTGTTACGTGGTGATTTTATATTCATTATTTTATCATGAATTTAGCTTGTATTTGCTTTTATTTTCAATGTTTATTAGTGAGCTTCTTTTAATTACTAGGGCTCAATTGATGCAATTTTAATTTTAATGTTATTAGGTGAGTTGAATAGCATTAACCCTTTATTAATAAAATATACGCTGAATGCTAATGCCTGAATGATAAAAAAAAAGATTTTCAGTCAAGAGGATCAGTAAAAGGAGCCTGCTTACCCTATGATAGCAACCAATTCCAAATAAGTGAGATAAGGAGCTTCAGAACTCAATTTTTAGAAAATTTAGAACTAAAAAAGTTAGAAAAAGACTTTAATATCAAGACCACCAACAAATACAGCCCACTTTCAGACTCCGGACAATTTCAACTACAGCAGCATTTATTTGTCCTTATACCTTCAGAACTTGACGCATAGTAGGTACCAGTGAACTATCCACTGGATGAAGGAAAACCTTTATCTGTCCAAAGATAAATACCAACTAAATAGAATACCTTTCTATGGGCTCAACACAAAGCCACATGAACTAGACTCGACGGACCAGTCACACCTTGTCCTATAAGGGTGCTACACATCAGAATCAACTCAATGGCAACGAGTTTGAGTTTCTGAGTAACTCTTCCCAAAATACATCTGGGCGCTTCAGCTTACAGCACGTTAAAATGGCAGTTTCAGCATCTGTGAGGGGCTTGCGATAGTGTCCTTTGAAATATTGAATTTGGGGAACAGGAAGTCTGCAAGGGCTATACTGGCTGTAGAGGGGGAAGGTTTCCCAAACAAATTCCCAGGACATCCATGGTTATGGAAACAGTTCCTTGGCACAATTTTCCTAGCCCTTGTCTTACCAACTTCATCATAAGCCCCAGATTACCATTTCCTCCAAGACCACCAAGATGAACCCTTCAGAATCTCAAAGACAGTTGCTGTAACCTGCTGAGCCCGCCTCTCAGTGTGAATGAACTGACCCAGCCAGAGTGCCTCAGGAGTCATTCATTGGCTTGGACCTTGTTACTGTTTTGTTTGAGATGAACTTGTTTGTCACTAGACTCCTATTGAAATTGTCCATTTCAATTTTACTTTTCCTCCTCTTTTTTTGTTCCTTTAAAGCTACTCAAACCACTAGTTAGGTTTGAAGGATAAGGAAGCTGGAGGGATTTTTTTTTT